AATTGATGACATGAAACAATGGTTAGGATTGTAAATAGTTTTTCAATGTTCTACTAATTATGCAATTTTAAGGTTCAAATGGAGTACTACAGAAATTGCATTTTCGCTGAAATTACACATCTTTTTATGAACACTACTACAATGATTTTTTTTGCCAATTAGATGTGTTCAAGTTATCAAAAGGTGGCATGAATAAAATGAAACGAAACAATCCAAACAACTTACTAACCGATTTTTTTTTTCTAATAACTTTATTAGTAAAATAAACACATTCACTCCTCAATCTCTGCTAATAAAAAAAATACATTACCAAGACAAGCGTTGCTTCCTTTTCACGTCACAAAAGAGATGCATACATTCTTCTTCTAATTGCAAACATTCTTCAACTACATACAAAAATAATTACAGATTCTTCCCTCTATTTACAATTTTTTTTTGTTCATTTAATTTTGAAAGAAAATGGTTTTGTCTAAGAAAAATTCGGAAGTAAAATCTGATCTATATAGAATATTGGCAACAACAGGCAAGCAAGTAAACTCATCTTATGTACATTCTCTAAGAACAAGGTTTCAGAAGTCAGAGTAAGTAAAGCTTGATTCTTGAAGTACAAGCTAACATTTAGACCATTCACATTGTGTACTTAAACCCTAACCTTCATTTTTGGTTTAGCCAATCAAACTCACTCTCTGGGTCTGGAAGTACTTTAGATTCCTTAGCTGCCACTCCTCTCTCGAGACGAACATTAATTCTCCACAACACAATCTTACTCTCCATTTTCATTCCTTTGATTTCATNNAGTCTCCAAAGCATACCCTTTACGAATTTGTATTCGNTTGAACTATACCATACCATATCTTTCATCACAATGCTTTCCACATCTCTGAAAGCTCTCCTCACAAGTCCAACTTCCATTTCTCTTTCAACAAGCNTTCTCACTGAATCTATCATCTTATAAGCAATCTCATGAACCGATTCTTTGTGATCCTCGGCCTCTATCAAGTGAATGATCGCACAGAACGCACCCGTAAACGCCAAAACCCATCCACTGTTATCTACCAATACCTCACTTGGTGGTGGGNTTAGCCTTGAGCTTATCTCAGGGAGAAGTTTCTCCATCACAGGAANCACAAACCCTTCCTCGTCAAGCGGCATTCTTAAGCAACAGAAAATATAAACCGCTCTCTGAAGAAGATGAGAAAAAGTTTCGTGGTGATCAAATACATCAAATACCCATTGCCCAGTGTAAGACACATTTTGTAAATAAATATGTACTCTAATATGAAAATGAATAAATATTATTCTAATATGATTTTTTTCATTGTACAGTACGGAATATAGTAACCAAGCTAAACGAAACTGTTATTAAAGTGTTAGAAACTAATTTTGACATAAAAACTGTGAATCAACTCATGGAGAAGGTAAATATTGTAACTCATATCATCAATTTATAATATTGATGTGTTATATTTATGATTTTTTATGTTATATTGTGGGAGTCAATAATTAGCCAATGTTTTGTAAATAACAAAGGCACTTGCTCAAAACAGAATGGCCAACTAATACGTTCAGCTATTCAAAAGATAAAGGTTAGTTACTAAATAA